TCCGGGAGGCGTTCGAGGACGTGGCGCTGCGCTTCACCCGCACGGAGTGGGAGCTGCTGGGAGACGGGGACAAGGGGCTTTACCGGGACCAGATGCTGAGGAATTACCAAGCCCTACTTTCCCTGGGTAAAGCCCCGCGCATCGCCTCTGCCCCGAGCTCAGGAACGTCCCCGTCCTCTCCCCGCCACCTGCCCCTTCCCCCCAGCAGACTTACCAGCCGGACGCTGCTCTCCCAGCTGCCAGGCTTGCATAACATCTCCCTTTTCCTTCCTATCGCCGCACCTCTCGCTGCCTTCCCCGGGGAGTTTTACATCCTTTATATACTTCCCAGTCCTTCATGATTCCTGTGTGATATGCCCATCCTTCCACGTATGTGGATGATAAGGAGCATCACCTATGGAAGGCTTCTGCCTGGAGTGCCCGCTCCTTGATGCTAAATGTTCACCTTCCCTTTTCCTTCAAGCCCCCCTCAGGTTGCTTGAGTCCATTGGATCCGTTCCCCAAATCCCGTTCCATCAGCGGATGGAGAGAAAGCAACGATTACCACTATTGATGCACTTCCTTACGCAGGGTATGGAGGTCCCGCACCAGACTTAATCAGCCGCATTGAGCGAGGGGAGGTGGAGCTCTGGGTCTGTGATGATGAGGCCCCTGGAGAAAGCGCGTGGACTGAGGGCCTGTCCCCAGGTGAGTTCCAGGCAGTTCTGACGTGTTAGACGTTTGCCAGTAAAACTTCTTTAGACTTGACCCCAGATGCCATCATCAGACTGCAGAGAGGTTGCCTGGAAGCCCTAGGGGTGAGCCCTGAGCAGCCTCACGGGTGAATGTTCACGGCTGAGCATGGCAAGGAACTTGAGTGGGTTGGGGAGTGCTCAGCACTGTCCTTCCCAGGATCTAACACGGCTGTGGTATAGACCTACTCTCAGCAGGCCTTGTGCTTCCTTAGAGCAGATGACTTTGGTCTCCCTTCAGTCCCAGATTGGAGGGCTACTTCAGTCCTGTGCTAGCACATCTGCCCCACGCATGACTCCCACCAGAGACAGCACAGACTTAGCTGTTACATCTCTGAATTCTCCCTACTCAGACGGGGCTTGGATTTGAGACCAGAACTACTGGGAATCTGGGTATGACATTGAGTATCCAAGCAGCAAGGCTTTGCCCTGCCATGGGACCCATCTCAGAACAGAGGAGTGGAAATGTTTTCTCCTTTTGCCACCCAGCAGGTACCGGGAAACAGAGCAGAGCTGAGCAGCAGCCTCCTAAGAAAGGGCCTGCAAACCTGGAGCTGCTTCCAGCCAGAAGCCAGCCCCTCGTGCAGTGCGGAGAGAGAACAGTCAAATCCCAACAGAGTCCTGTGTGCAGGGAAGGATCCAAGGCACAGGGAAATGAGAGCCAGCAGGACAGCATGCACAGAGGGGAGCCAATGTATCAAGGTGGCGAGAGCTTCACAACGCACGGAGGGACCCACAGGACTGAGACAGCCCATCCCAGCGCTGAGGGCAGAAAGAGCTTCTGGTATGAACACAGCCTCATTGAGCACCAGAGAATACACTTGGGGGAGCGCCCCCACCTCTGCCCTGAGTGTGGAAAGAGCTTCACCCGCCTGAACGGCCTCCATGTCCACCAGCGCCTGCACACTGGGGAGCAGCTATACCAGTGCCCTGAGTGTGGGAAGCGCTTCACCCGCTCAGACCACCTCCGAGTCCACCAGCGGGTCCACACTGGGGAGAAGCCATATCAATGTATCATATGCAGGAAGGCCTTCAGGCACAGTTCCACTCTCTCCCATCACCAGCATGTCCACACTGGGGAAAAGCCGCATCAGTGTGCCAGGTGTGGGAAGTGCTTTGCCCGCCTGGACCTCCTCCAAGACCACCAGCGCCTCCACACTGGGGAGAAGCCGTACCAGTGCTCTGCCTGTGGGAAGAGCTTCAGGCACAACTCTTCTCTCGCCCAGCACCAGCATGTCCATACTGGGGAGAAACCATACCGCTGTGTTGAGTGTGGGAAGGGATTTGTCCACGCGTCCAAGCTTCGAGTGCACCAACTTGTCCACACCGGAGAGAAACCACACCACTGTGGCCAGTGCGGGAAGAGCTTTGCCTTCCCATCCAAGCTCCGCGATCACCAGCTCGTCCACACTGGAGAGAAACCTTACCACTGTGTCCAGTGTGGAAAGAGCTTTGCCTTCCCGTCCAAGCTCCGTGATCACCAGCGCGTGCACACCAGGGAGAGGCCTTCCCGCTGCGCCCTGTGCAGGAAGAGTTTTGCTGGGCAACATCATCTCCATGCCCACTGGTGTGACCCCTCTGGGGACAAGTCATCCCTGTGCACCAGTGGGAAGAACTTGCCATGCGCAACCCAGCTCCAAGCCCACCAGTGCCTCCATGCCAAGGGGATGCCATGCCCCTGTGCTGATGGTGGGAGAACCTTTCCCCACCCATCCATGCTCCGTGTCCACCAGCACACGGGGAGAAAACTGCACCACTGCCCAGAATGTGGAAAGAGCTTTAATTACCCGTCCAAGCTCCGTGTTCATCTTCGTGTCCACACTGGTGAAAAGCCACACCACTGCACTGACTGTGGGAAGAGTTTCAGGCAGAGCTCTATTCTCACCAGGCACCAGCAAACCCACAGACCAGCCCCTCGCCATTGACACTGGTCCGTTCCTGCTAGCTCATCTCCCCGCTTCTCCCCATGGCCTGTGACCTCAAGGGGGGGGTGGAGGAAGGTCTGGCTGCACCTGGCCTGAAATGCCCCCACGACCCCTTCTCCAGGCACAGCAGTGGGGATGGGAATGTTCTCTCAATGGTGTCTTAAACGGGTTGTCGTGGAGTAACAGGCTGCAGCAGGGATGGAGGAGACAGGTGAGCTTGGGGCTGCCCTGCAGGGACAGTGGTTTCTCCCAGGTCAGTTGCCCTGTTGGCAACATCCGGGGACACTGGAGGTTTGAAAGAGAGTATGAACCAATGAGACTTTATTCCCTGCCACTTGGATGGTCCAGCCATCTGTACTGCTAGTTGTGCTAGTAATGCTGAATGAAATGTTTACTTCTGTCTGTGTCCTGATGCTGTGGTCTGTTCACACCCCTGTGAATGGGTGGTAGCATTCACCCGTTAGCTGTGGTGGTAGCATTTGGAGTGAGTGTCATGGGGTTACAATCTGTGTGAACCTTCTCACCCGACTAACTTGAGCACAAGATGCATGGCGGGAGGGAAAGGGGCTGGGAAAGCTGCATTCGGGCTAAGAGGAGGGGTGGGGAACTGTCCCTGGGGAGAGCTGTGTTCTGCCAGGGACTGAGCGTCTGTCAGCAAACACCCTACCTGGTTCCAGCTCCTTTGGATGAGTTGTTTCCCCCCCCACTGACCCAGGTCCTTTGTGCTAACTGGCCGCTCATCTGCTCTCAGCAGGGTTTATATGCGTATGTGCACTGCTCCCTCTGAAGGCGACAAGGACAGTCATTGTTGCAGTCAGCCTTCGGTTCCTTTTCAGAAGGAGAGGTCTGGGAGGGCTGCACGTGACCCCATTACCACTATCCATCCCTACTGACCTCACTGTATCCCTGGATGAAAGGGATCTCCCTCTGGTCTTCCAAGGGATCCAGGAATTTGACCTGTGCACAGATGCAAGAGACCGCTTGTGGCAGTCCTGTTCCATGGTCCCATGTGGGAATTCCTGGAAACACCTGCCATGCTTCATGTTATGCCTTTGATCCAGAGAAAGCAGGGGAGGCAGCAGCTGCTGTGAAGTTCTCTGCAGCTCCAAGTTTACAAGCTCTTCCTCAGGAAGCTGCTTCTCAGCTCTGCTCAGGGTCCCTGCACCTGCCGCGTAGGGTGGAGAATGCACAGGTTAGCCCTGGTGCTACTGGCACGGGGAAAGCCCTGCTTTCAGCTGTACTGGCCTGTTACTAGGGCGGCCAGAAGCCTCCACATGTGGGAGAGCAGGAAGAAGGAAGACTCCAATTCCCCCAGTTCCTGCTAATGGACATCCACAGGCAGGCAGCTGGAGATGAGCCCCAACAACTCTGTTCATAGGCAGGGCAGAGAGGAAGATTCTCTCCCCAAATGCAGGACAGTCACTCAGGCCCCCAGACCCAGGCCTGCCCTGCATCCAGTGCTTCACCTGGGTCCTGCTGGGGCAGGAGCTCCTTCCTGGGGACCCAAAGGGGCTCGTTCTGAGGCTCGGCGGTTTCATCCTGTCCTGCCTCCTTTAGGGGCATGGCCACAGGAAAGGGCTGGGGCTGTGGCCGTGCCAGGCAGGATTTAAGATGTTCCCACAGTGCCCCGGTGGGCACCATCTTGTCCAATGACATATCCTCAACCTTGACACGCACAGGGACCCGGGGACAAGGCAAATGTGTTACCGTGCCCAGGGACTGGGAGAGAGCTGGGGGAGGGAGCGTCCCCAGACACATGGAGATGGGGACGGCGCCTGGAGCTTGTCCTCCTCCACTTGCCCCACACGAAACCCCTCGGCCAGGACCACCGCCTCGGCGCAGGGCTCCCGCTGCATGCCCGCTCCCAGCTCCGCATCTCCCAGGGCAGGACGGCCAGGAACTGCCCCAGCACCGCCAGCTCCAGGATGTGCTCCTTGCTGCGGCGCTGGGGCTCCAGCCAGCGCTGGCACAGCTCCCGCAGGCGGCTCCAACCCCCCCCCCCCCCCTGGGAGCAGCAGCCGGGATGTGCGGGCACCAGGTCTCTGCTGGGGGGGTCGTGCCCGGTGCCCGGTGCTGGTGCTGGTGCTGGTGCCAGCCGGGGGGGGCACAGGTGGTGCTGGCCCCAGCTCAACAGCCCGGGGGCCTCTTGAGTCCCGTCCTGTGCGCGGGGAAGGGGAAAGCGCCAGCTGTGCCCTGCCAGGGGAGAGCCGGACCAGCCCCGCCCTGGGTCCTGCCGGCCCGCTCCGGAAGGCCCGCGGG